TTCTTGCTGTGTCTTTGTAAATCCATGCTTTCGTTCTTTTTTAAACACAGAAACAGTTTTGTTTACCTGTTTGTAGCTACGGTTTCGCCGACAGCTGCCGGCTTCTTCAGGCTGACGCTGATGGTGGCGCGTCACTTCCTTCTCTGTTTATCTGCGGGCAGCAGAGGACGTTGTCGCCCTCTACTGCCCGCTCTCCCCTCTCCGACGATGCAGTCCCATGCGTGGTCCAGCGTGTAAACTCCGTCGTCCCTGTTCATGGTCCCACATCCACGTCTCATCTCTATTGCTTCCTTGATCCATCTTTTGTATTTTTGTTGTTCAGTGGTTATGATCCGTGTGCTGTCCCAGTCCATTATATGGTTTTCTCTTAAGCAATGTTCTGTTACGGCTGACTTTTTTATTGTACTTTCTGCTTCTTCTTTTGCTGCTCTTGTGTGTTTACGATTTGCCTCTTTCTCGCACTCCTTTCTGTGTTCTATTGTCCGTGTATTGAGTTGGCGTCCGGTTTCTCCTATGTATGTTTTATTGCATATTTTGCATGGGATTTCGTAGATGACTCCACATTTTTGTCCAGCTGATATTTTGTCTTTTGGGTGTACTAATCTGTTTCTAACTGTTGTGTATGGCTTTGTTGGTGTGTTTATGTTGTGTTTTTTCATTGTTGCTCTTATTTTTTCCATTATGCCTCTGATGTATGGTAGGGTTATCACTGGTTTTGGTTCTTGTCTTTCTGGGTTTCTGGTAGGGATGCACCGATGGATCGGCATTTGATCGTAATCGGCCGATAGCGCCCCTATCGGTTTTGATCGGAATTTTCAAAATAGATCAAAGCAAACCGATCAGGTAGGGTTGTCACGGTAACCAGTGTAGCGGTAAACCCCGGTAAAAAAAAAAAAAGTTGACAATAATAATAACCGTCTTGTTTTTAAAAAAACTATATTATCTTGGTGGGTTTACCGTGGCTGCGGTGTAGGCGCGGTGACCCTTACCAGCCACCGTATCATCGGCTGAAGTTGCCGGTGGCACATGCACGCTTTGTTTACAACAAAACTTTCTTGAAGCTAAAGCTGAAATAATGGTCAAAGGAGGAGACGGCAGCGCTCAGGAGGACATTTATTATCCCTCAAAGAAGACAAAGTCGGAAGTACGGGCATATTTTAGATATTTGAAGAATGCCGAGGGAGTTTATAGAAGACGGACGGACGGCTATCCTGTTTGCAGCGCGAGCAGAAAAAGTGTCTGTGAAAGGCAGCAACGCTTCAAATCTCATGACACATCTGCGTGACCATCACCCACAACTCTACAGTCAACGCAAGGCAAGTTAACGTTAGCGTTTTAGCTAAAATGCGTGATCCGAGGATTTGGGTTGAGGGAGAACGCAACGAGTCGCTATATAAAGCAGCCGCAGCGCCGCTACCTGCATATAAACCGTGTCGCGGACACCCCCATGTTGAAATGACGCTATGCATTACGGGGCTCCCAGGGGCAGATAAGAGTTGGTCTCTCTCCGAGAATAATTATGAATTTAACAACGATTACTGCCTGATGACATTTTCCCACATCTGCAAAGCTCACTGGAAGGACACAAACCGAGGACAATATTCTCCTGATATAGGGTTTATTACTCAAGTAAGGGTAAAAAAGTATCTGATTAGAAGGCTACTTGAGTACTAAGTATCATCTGATCTAATATTTTTAAAATGATGACATCAAACAGACATAAAATAAGAAGTTATGGACAAATATTGGTATTTTAAAGGCTAAAGGGGAAAAATGTAAACAAATGAACAACATAATTACAAAATAACACATTTTAGGCAAAATTTAGACACAAACTGAGGACAATATTTCCTGACATACAGGGTTTATTTAATTGTGTGAAAATGTAGCACGTTTAAAAAAAATACCGCGATAATACCGAAAACCGTGGTAATTTTGGTCACAATAACAGTGAGGTTAAATTTTCACACCGTGACAACCCTAATACAGACCATTTTAGATTAGGTTACATTTCCTTTATTCCCAGATTATGTAGTTTGTAGCACTCATTATAATGTTGTAGAAAATTTCTGGCCAATCCACGTGATCGGTATCGGTATCGGTGATCAGCATTCTTTGATATCGGTATCGGTGATCGGCAGCAAAAAACCTGATCGGTGCATCCCTAGTTTCTGGTTCTTTTTTTGGGTTGTTCTTTGCTTTCTGTTTTTGTTTGTTGTTTTCCTTTGTTTATTGCCCATGTCGGGTATCTGCAGGTCTTTAAAGCGTGTTGTATGTGTTTGTCCTCTTGTTTACGGTCTCTCTCTTCTGTTATTATGTTTGCTCGGTGATATAATGTTCTGATTACTGACATTTTGTGTATGGTGGGGTGTTCTGATGTCCATAATAAATATTGGTCTGTGTGTGTTGGTTTCCTGTATGTGTTTATGTTTAGGGTCCCGTCGGTCTGCCTGGTGATTTTCATGTCCATAAATGCTATGCTGCCTTCTGTTTCTAACTCATAAGTGAATTTTATGTTGCCCGTGTCGTCAATATTGTGTGTTGTGTTAGTGTTTCTGTTTGACCTTTTGGTATGATTTCCAGTATGTCGTCTACGTAGCGTTTCCATAGTTTTATTTTGCAGTTTGGGGGGGCGGTGGCTATGGCTTTTTGTTCCAGGTCTTCCATGAAAAACTCGCACAGGGTGGCTGATAACGGGTTACCCATGGCGAAGCCTTCCAGTTGTTTGTATATTGTGTTGTCGTATGTGAAGTAAGTGGAGTTAGCTACCAGTCCTATCAGTTGTGCTATGTCATCTGCTGTGAGGTTTGTCCTTTTATGTAAAGTTTTGTCTTGTCTGATTCTGTTAACTACTATGTCTATGGTTTTTTGGGTTGGTGTTTTTGTGAACAGAGATGTGACGTCATGTGAGATGAGTATGTCGTTGTCTTCTATTGTAATTTCCTTTAGTTCTTTTGCCAATTCTATACTATTTTTGCAGTGTTGGTCTGTATTTCCTAATAACGGGCTGATGATTCTGCTGATATCTTTTGCCATGTTGTATGTTGGTGTACCTATGCTGTCAACTATTGGTCTAAGTGGGGTGTTTTGTTTATGTATTTTTGGTGTTCCATATATTCTTGGTGTTATGTTTGCTGTGGGAATCCAGTGTTTGTACATTTTTTCTGTTATTTTGCCTTTTTCATGCAGTGGCTTCAGTAATTTTTTCATGTTTTTCTTAATGTTTTCTGTTGGATCTTTTTTAAGTATTTCATATGTATTTTTGTCTTCTAGCATCTGTTTCATCTGTTGTTTATATTTTTCTCTGTCCATAACTACTGTGGTTCTTCCTTTATCTGCCGGTAGAATAATTATCTGTTCATTTTTGGATAAAGCTGTCATGGCTGATTGTTCTTCTTTTGTAATATTGCTGTGTTGAATTTGGCTGTTTTTTAATATCCCAACTACGTTATTTCTGAGTTCTGCTTTCTTTCCCTCATCTGTGATCTGTTGACATGCTAGTTCTGTTGCTACAATAAATTCATCATATGGTATTTCTTTTGGTGTGACTGCAAAGTTTAAACCTTTCTTTAATATGCTCTCTTCTGCTTCTGTTAGTTTGTATTGTGAAATGTTACATACCCATGAGTTTGGTGTGGAGTTGCCTTGTATTTCTCCCCTCTTTTTCTTGTTTATGAGTCTGTTTAACTTCTTTATGTGTCTTTCTTTCACTTTTATGAACTCTTGTTCCTGTTTTTCCATCATGTGTCCTTTAATTAGTTCCTCCATTTGTTTATCAAGTTTGTAATTCCTTTTCAAGTCCAGGTGTCCTCTTTCCAGTTCGTCCTCCACACGCCTCTGTTTGGTTATGACGTTCCTTATCCTCTCCTTGAGCAGTGCTCTCTGTGCTCTTTCTATTATATTTTGTGCTGTCTGGGTCCGGATCGATGTTTTCAGCTGTAGGCTTGTGGGTGTGATGTTTTCGTCCCGGCATCTTAAACAGAAGCGAAGGTGGTTTCTTAGACGTGCGCGTTTCTGGTGTAATCGTTCCAAACGGCGGAAGTCCTTCGTTCCTTGTTGTCCGTATTTCTCTTTGAACATCTTAGGTGTGTTCTTGCTGTGTCTTTGTAAATCCATGCTTTCGTTCTTTTTTAAACACAGAAACAGTTTTGTTTACCTGTTTGTAGCTACGGTTTCGCCGACAGCTGCCGGCTGTTTCTGTGTTTAAAAAAGAACGAAAGCATGGGTAATGAATTACAGTAATCCAGTCTTGATGTAATAAATGCATGTACTAGTTTTTCAGCATCACTCCTGGAAAGGATGCATTTAATCTTAGCAATATTCTGAAGGTGGAAAAAGGAAATCCTACAAACCTGTTTAATGTGGGATTTGAATGACATGTCCTGGTCGAAGATAACACCAAGGTTCCTTACTTTGTTCTCGAAGACTAATTTAATGCCATTCAGGTCAGGTGATTGACTAAGCAATTTCCTTTTCTGAAATTCAGGTCCTAAGATGAGAACTTCCATTTACTAAGTATAGATTGATTATATTTAGAATGGGGGCAGTAACCAAAGGAAATGCATTTTTGAATAATTTGGTTGGGATTGGATCTAAAAGGCAAATTGAAGGTTTAGATGAAGCTAATATTTTTGATAACTCTGAAAGCTCAACTGGATCAAAACGGTTCAAACACAGATGAGGTTCTACAGTTACCTCTGATGCTGCCTCACTTACTGAGGAAGACGAAATTGCATTAGGGAGGATGCTAATGATTTTGTTTCTAATTGAATTAATTTCTCAGGTTTACAACTTTTACAAAACTCAGCAGCACGTGTCCTGATGAAGACCAGGAAGTGGGAGCACATCACTCCGGTTTTAAAATCACTGCACTGGCTCCCCGTATGTTTCAGGATCGATTTTAAGGTTCTTTTAATGGTTTTTAAGTGTCTTAAAGGCACAGTCTGCAACATTTAAATGTAGAATAACTTTAAAAATGTTTGATTTTGACCATCTGACCCAATTTTATTAAAAAAGGTAAATAATCTTTAATATTTCAATTTTCTCCTAAGTCCCTCCCCTGCCCTGTAGAGCTCAGCCAATATTTCTGCAAGCCTAACGCGTTGACCAATAGCGCTGCGTTTCCACCAGGGGGCAGCTGTCAATCATCGAGCACGAGCAGGTCTCAGCGTGCACAACAGTGTCACGCGCCTCACTCGGCTTACTGCAGAAACATGGAGCAACAAAACCCCAAATTACCGATTCCTCGACTGCCTTCCACATCTCAGAAAACATTTAAAAAGTTTAAAAGCCTTTCTTCAAAAGTGGCTGTAAGACGTTTGAGACAGTCGAGTAGAATTTACATTGGAGATTGTTTTACACACGATGGAGAGATTTTCGTGATCTACACGGCCTGAAAACGGATGAAGAGTTGGCAAAGTATCTTTTAGACAGGTAAGTTATTTATTGTTTTTCGGCTAAATTTACTTATAATCTTTCTTTCACTGAAAGAAGTAATAGAGCAAACAAGCTTTGTATGCTTGGTGTCCTGTTGGCTAATGTAGCATTAGCTTGAATGCTAAGTCGACATGAATCGATGCTAGTGAACTAGTTATGCTATATTTGGAAGAAGTTTGAGTAACGAAAGGGGATTTTAGTTTTTTGTTTATATGGGAGCTAATGATTAGTGTGGCGTTTAACTATAGGCCATATCAGTATATTGTTTTAAGCTCTTGTTTATAACTTCCCCGTTAGCGGGGTTCAGTTAGCATCTTGAAAGCTGAATTAGGTGTTTACACTTGCCTGAGCTGCGTGTTTGATTAAAATGAGTAATCAGCAGCTCATGTAGCACTTGTAGAAGTCTGAGGAGATGATTCAGCAGTTAGAATTAGGTGTGATTGATCAGGAACCTATCCGAAACCTTACGTTTCCATTAGCACTGAAAGACATATTGTGCTAACCTGGGTGGGCCACGTGTACAGATTACCATCTGAGTTTGTGGTCTTACCTACGTGAAAACTCCATATTAAAATAAAAGGAATGATAATCAGCTCGTGCAAAAATCTGTGAAGGCTGGGGAGACTTGCTTAGCTTGTGATCACTAATTTTTGGGCTTTGTTTTTTACAGTCATCAGTCCAAATATGAAGCATCAACATATACACCATTGAAGCGCCAACTGTGTATTTCTCCAACACCAGTGCCAGCTCTGTCTAGCATTCATGGAGAATCATCTGAAAGGTAAATAGCTGCGTAAAAACCTCTACCAGGAATATTATAATTTTGCCTCTGTTTGTTTTAAGTTAGTGGTGGATTATTTTGAAAAAAATCTAGAAATGGGATAATGAATGACTATAAAAAATGTATAGAAATAAATAGTAAAACTACATTTTATATAGCGCCTCTCAAGATAAAACTCTTGAGGCACTTCACAACAACAAAATTTAACATATTTTTAAAAAATTATATTTTTATTTCAAAGTTTATGAGAAAAAAATAACACAATTGTGTTTTTAAAATGTAAAGAGAGAGACAGGAAATTATTTGTAAAGAAGGAATTCAGTGGATACAGAGAAATGCGTAATAATTAGAGTGAGAAAAATAAGGAGAGGGTGATGATGACGGCCAATAGACGAGGTCTATTACCTTCAAAATGACAAAATATGTATTGATTCTAATCATATTGTTGTGCTTGTATTTTATTTTCATAGGGATGATAATTTGGAGGAGGTGATGGAACAAGGTGAAACTAAAAAAGAAGGATCTTCACAAATGTAAGTACAAGGTTGTATCTGTATTTGGCTGTCACGTTTGTCAGGAAAAGTAAACAATAATTACTTTTTTAGGTTATCTTGTGTGGGAATTGAAGCAAACATTGACGAGGAAGAGTTCAACAATATTCAAAACTCTGTAAGTATTCAGATGTTAATAAAATGTGTCTAATTTTCCATACTAAAAACTTTATATTGTGTATATTCAGGATAGAGTCATCAGATGACACGTGGTCACCAAACAGAGAACCAGAAGTTGATTCGTCTTCAGAGGAGGACGAAACCATCGAGATGGACAGCGGTACTGATGACCGCGGTGATGAGGACTACACACCTTATATACACATAAGGTAATTCCTTTCGTTTAACATTCTATAAAACTGCAATAGCGCATAGTTAATAAAAAGCTTTTGTTCACAGGACTGGAGCAGCATTACAATAAACATTACAACTTGAGACTCTGCAAGAAATTAACATAGAGGATACAGTTCATGACTGTAATATCCCAGAAGCAACTGACCGACGCTTGACAAGCAAGAAAGGTCTTCCTCGACGCTACAAGCTAAGGCCTGAGGGTCCAAGGCGTTATGGTTTGCTGTCCGGAGTTCCTGCACCATCAACAGAGGAACTTCTACAACACCTACGGACTTGCGGTGATGGTAAAATAAAACATTATCTGCCTTACATCTTCCACACAATAGTCCATTGCTAATTGAGTTTATTTTTTATTTACAGGTAAAACTTTGCCACAGACATAGGTGTTGGGGGAGGCAAGAGAAAACCCAAAACCTTCTTTATTTTTGTTTCCTGTGTTTTTTTTTTTTGAAAATAAAGATATATTTTGGGGAAATAAGGACTAATAATTTAAAAATTTATGTAAAATGTTGGAGGTAGACATTTTTTTTTTTTTTTGTTGTGCTGGAGTTTTAAAATGTATGGTATTTTTACAAATGCAACACAGAGTTGTGCTTTAGAACACTTTATTAGAGCATCAAACAAAAATATATAAAAACAAACTTATGTAAAATATCAAATATATACATTTATTTACAATCGTCTTGGAATAAAACCAGTGTAGTTACCATTGGGGTCAGGGAATTTTGCAGAATAAACTCCTCCATGTGTGGTACAGTTGAAATACATGTCTGGGGAGGCTGTTGGCAGCATTTCTTTTCCAAATCAGTTGGCATATCTCTGCAGTGGGAGCATACACACCATGAAGGTTGATTGGGTGTTGGAGGTGTTGTGGCAGGTGGACCAGAGAGGGCAAGTACATCAAAGAGAACACCAGTGTCTGTCCAGCACCATGGTAAGGATGCCAATAGCCTGCTGAGGGTTGAGGTTCTGTATGTGTTGCTACAAAAGTGGAAAGAGATGCTACAGCAACAGTTTTTAGGATAATTTAGTGTAATGTTGTTATGCTTACACGTTCAAAGTCTATTCGCTCGGAACAAAGATTCCGAACTCGAGAGAGATCTTCATCTCCAAGGTCCACAGCTGAGTGTCTCACACTTCTTCGGCCTCTGGATGCACCACGGCTTTGAGATGATGGTGGGCATCTCCTTTTTGCACCACGTCTTGAGGATGCAATAGGAGGTTCAAACTCTTCCTCAGCGGATTCCTCAATCACTGAACTCTAAATTGTATTAGAATAAAAAAATTATACTAATATAAAAAGTACTCTTGCATATTAATCAATTTTGACACACATCAGGTTTACATCTAGTCAAAATTTGGGCTAAACCAACAATAAACAGAAACCCTATGAAAACAACCATGATTATAGGAGGACTACACAGAATGCAGTGTTTATTCATGATTTCCACATAAATTATTTATATGCTTTGATATATTCATCCCATCTTGAATGGCAAAGCAATTAAAAATAAGCTAGTTACTTGTAATAAAATGCTAACAATTTGATAGGATTAATTTTATTTACAATATAGATTGCCAACTGTTACTGGTATTTTAAAATATAAATATATTTATAGATATTCTTTATAAAATGCCTTTTGTAAACAGTAAGTGTTTAATGTGCTGGTTAAATACAACTTTCTTACCTCAGATAACTCCATTGCTAACACTAGCTCAGCTCTATTACAAGAAGCAATGCTCCGATGTTGACTCTGCTTTTCCTGCGCGTGCACATTGGGAGGTGTGGCTTTCGGCTCTTTCAGGAAGGGCGGGGGAGTGAGCAACAGCCGTTCGAATTTAAAAATCTCCTCCTCCTCACCCTGATGGCGTCATCCTGCGGACTGTGCCTTTAATGGTCTTGGGCCTTCTTATCTTTCAGAAATGATTTTACTATATAAACCCTCGCGGTCTCTGCGCTCCTCTGGCAGCCGTCTCCAGTGTTGGGCAAGTTACTTCAAAACTGTAATGCATTATTTATTACTTGTTACCCTCATTTTAAAGTAATTCATTACATTACAATATTACTGATTTAAAATGTAAGGCATTACACTACTTTTGCATTACTTTAAGTTACTTTTACCAATACAACTTCAATATGAATCTGGTAATGTGACGCTCAGTGAGCTCATGACATATATGTGGAAAGTGATGTGGTGTCTGAGCTAGGATTGCTGTTAAAAACAGTCAGATATAATAACAGTGTTTTAAAATGATTGTTTATTAAATAAAAGCAACAACAATCTGTACTCTCAGTACGCTGCCATCTTATAGGGCCATCTGAGCAGGGAGTGAGGTGGTGGGGGCTCCAAGCCTATATTTGCCTTGGTCCCCAAATGCCTTGATACGGCCCTGGATGTGGGACTGACTTCTGGGGTGATCTGATTCAATCACATGTATAAATATTAAATGCTTATATATTATTGCTTTTCACTGGTAAAAATGAGTATTGGGGATAAATCTACCTACTTTTTTCTTTTCAAGCACTCTGTTTTGTTTTCTTGATTTTATTTGAATAATTTCCAGCCCTTTCTCTCTCTAACCTTCCTGCATGCTGCATGTTTTCTCCGTCTTCCAGAAAAAACTGTTTCCTAGACTTCCTACTTTCTAAAGATCAGCCAAAGGGATCTTCACATGCGCGGCGCTCCAGCAGTAATGAGTTGAAATCACCGGGGCACAGATTATGAACTCAGCTGAGGCAAAATATGTCAGAAAAGCACAAAATACCAGAGAATATGCGCCGATATGAACGATCGCAAGTGAATTATTTTGTTTTAGTGGAGCGATTTTGTGAATGTTACAGCGGCCGTGTGCAGGACGCAGCTGGAGTAGTTGAGCCGTTACCGCTGCGTCCTCTCTGCCCGCAAAGCTGAGTCCATAAATGACGTCATATATGCAGATACTGGATCTTTCTTCGGGTTTCCCGCAATTTGAATTTTTAAGGAACACATCTTGATTCTGGGTTTAAAAATGCATTGTAATAACCGCGTTACTGACAATTGTACCGAGTAAATATTACCATTTTCTTTCCCTGTAATGCCTTACATTACCACATTACAGCAAAAAGCAATGCATTACAGTAATTAATTACTTTTGTACCGCATTACTCCCAACACTGGCCGTCTCCTAGTTATCCCTAAAGTTAAGACTCACACCCACGGCGAGGCGTCCTTCAAGTACTACGGCCCTCGCCTTTGGAACGGGCTGCCGGAGGACCTCAGGGCCCAAGGGAACGTCCAGGCTTTTAAGAATAGGCTCAAGACCCACCTTTTTAGCTTAGCTTTTAACTAATTACTATTTATCTAGTCTGTTTAACTGAATCGTCTGTCATATTTGCTTATTTATATATGTACATATTGATCTCTTTTAATTAATTTTATCATTTTATTTACATCTTAGTGTTTTTACATGATTATGTTTTCTTTTACTATCTTTATAATCACTTTTTGTCAGTTACTTTTTATCCATATTAGCTTTTGTTATTTTACAGTTATATATTTTAATCCTCCAGTGTTTCCTCTGCGGAGCCCTCTGCCTTGGGGCCGGTGGCGGCGGCCGGGGCGCTCCTCGGGTAGTGCCCGGGCAGTGGTGGGGGTTTCTGCCCTCCCCCACGGGGCGTCATGGGCCGGTGTCTTGGCTGCTGCCGTGGATCTGTTGCTGTCACGGCAGATGATGTGTCGTTCATTACCTAACCCAGCTGAACTCAGCCTATTGTTTCCCCTGTTGTTCGTGTGTGTGTGTGTGTGTGTGTGTGTGTGTGTGCATGGACGAGTGTGCGGGTAATTGTATGTCCAATTTGGAAGTTGGGTGTGGGAAGGGAACCGTACTTGTCAATTGTTTTATACTTGGGGAGGGGGGCTGGGATGGGAATATGGGATCTATGGGGCCATTTTAATCTGTGAAGCATTTTGAGTAGCATTGTTTTGCATGAAAAGTGCTATATAAATAAAGTTGATTTGATTTGATTTAATTTTACTCGTAAAAAATCCCATAAAGTCGTTGCTGCTGAGGGCTAAGGGACAAGATAGTTCAGAGCTATGATTCTGCGTAAATTTGGCAACTGTACTGAAAAGAAATTTTGGATTATTTTTATTCTCAATTAGTGATGAAAAGTAAGCAATTCTAGCTTGTCGAAGCTTATTTTTTAAAGCACAAGACTAAGTAGGACTCCTCCTGGTGTGTAGAGCGCCATGTTCTATCCTATTTTCTAGAGTTTTGTTTTAAAGTTCGTAAATGAGAATTAAACCAGGGAGCCAACTTCCTGTGCTTAATTACTTTTTTTTTTAAGGGGCAACATCATCTAATGCTACACGTAAAGAGGAATTAACATTATGAACTAAAGCATCAACTTGTGAAGGGCTAGAAATGAAAATATTGCCCTCTACTACGTATCTCTAAGATGCTGAGGACAGTAAAGATGGAACAGTTGATTTAAAAGATGCAACTGTGTTGTCAGATAGAGACTGATGTAGCGTTATGAAGTTTATAATTGTCTGCCCTTAACAGCTGCCCCTTCACACAGTCGGACGCTTGGTTCAGTATGTTTACATTCCAGGAGAAGAGACAGAAGAAGAGAAGAACGCTTTTCATTAATTAAAGTTCTTTATTTGTGATAAGCTAATCAAAGCATATGTTGATCATTAATAATCAGGTGAATGATCTGTGAAATAAAGATGTCATGAGTTATGTGTTTAAATGAATAAACAGGGCTGCACCAGACAGACTGATCTACATTACCATGGAAACGCATGACACATTGTTTTCTTTATTTCACAGATCATTCACATAGTGAAATTTACTTTCATGTCTCGAGAATTAAGTTATAAAAAACTCAAAGGTTATCAGAAAGTGGTTCGAGAGGACTGGATTATGTGGAATGATCGTTATTTCCTCACACTCTATGCCATAAGTCAGCCCAAGGTCTAATGTATGATGGCAGGAGTGGGTGGAGCTATGTATTCTTTGGGTAAAACCAGTTGAGTCTAAGATATTACTAAAGGGTACATTGAGGCAATCATTTTCAATGTCCACCTGAATATTAAAATCCCCCACTACAATGACCTTATCGGTATTAAGCACCAAATCAGATTAAAAAAAATCAGAGATCTGATCCAAAAACTCAAGACGATATAAAACTACAAACAAGAGTGGTTTTACGATTTTGCAATCTGGATTAGGAAAACTAAGAATAAGATGTTCAAACGAACTGTAGCTATTAATTGGTAAGGGTTTGATTAATAGGTCTGAATGAAAAATGGTTGCTACTCCTCCTCTTCGCCCTGTACTTCGAGCAATATGATGATTTAAATAATTTGAAGGAGTCGACTCGTTTAAGCTAACATAGTCCTCTTGCTGCAGCCAGGATTCTGTGAGAGAGAGCAAAGAGATCTTATTATCACAAATCAAGTCATTAACTAACAAAGTCTTAGAAAAAATAGACCTAATGTTCAATAGCTCACATTTAATTTTTCTAGTTTTCTGCTCAGTTGAATTTGTTCTAATATCTATGAGATTTCCATGATTTGCTTTATTAAGCCTGATAATTAATCTGTGTGATTTTGGCCATGGGCAGGACACTGTCTCTATGGGGTAGTGGGTGGGTAACAGTACAGAAGCTGCAGAGGGGTGTGTTACACTATGACTCTGCTTCCTGGTCTGGACCCTGGGTTGTCATGGATGACTAATAAAATTGGCTTTGTTCGTAGTAAGAAGAGCTGCTCCATCCAAAGAGGGACGGATGCCATCTCTTCGCATCAGACCAGGTTTTACCCCCAAAATTTTCCAATGATCAATCTAGCCCACATTGTTTTCAGGACACCACCTAGTACAGATTATTTACTGTACAGATTACAATCGTACCAAGCAATTAAAATAGTATCGGTCAGTTAATATAATATTAATATTTGATAATAATAAACTAATGAGCTTCTGTCAGCTGCCTCATACTCTTTAATATCCGTTCAAGTAACGTAGTTTACCACTTTAGAGAGAAGGAGAGAGACGCTTGCGATCCGGTGGTCCTTGATTAGTGGTTCTGATCTGGTTCCGACCCACAAACCTGCTCGATTGGCCCACTCAACCGCACGTCTC